CCCGGCCCCACCAGGGTCAGCGTCCCCAGGGCAGGCATGGGGGGCTCCTGTTGGGGGCCCCTTCCTGCTCTGAGCTGCACCAAGGGACACGGCGGGGCTGGATCAGGGGATCCAATATCCTGTGCCAAGTTAATGTCACATCTCACAGAGAGCTCTCAGCGTGGCCTCAGTTAATTGGTCTTTGGGGAGGGATGGGAGGCCCCAACCCCCCCCACCTTTGTAGGACAGGTGTGACCCCCAAGGTCCCTCCCAGGATGAGATCTGCCCTGCTTTGGGTCTCACCAAGTGTCCAGAGTCACAACAGACCTCGAGGGTGACCTTTGAGCATGCTGTTCCTCTGTGCCTCAGTTTCCTCTTTCGATGGGGCCCAGCAGAACTAAGTCTGTCACCTGCAGACACTTTGGCCAGGTACACACTGTCAGGGGCAGGTGGGGAAACTGAGTCACAGGGACAGTGAATATTGTGGCTCTGCTCCCTGTGGGGTCTGGGGGAGGCCCCACAGAAAGGGGGATTTGCCCCCACACTGGCCCAGCTTGGCCGTTCCTGGCCTTGGCAGCAAGGCACAGTGGGGCAGCCAGGACACAGGGACAGGCAGCAGGCTGGCCTTTTCCTTGTAGGATTGCAGGAGCAGGGCTCGTGGGATCCCTCTGGCTGCTCACGTGTTCCCATGGCACAAGAGGGGCCCCGGCAGCTCGGCCAGGGACAAGCCTGGGCCTGCAGAGCCGTGGCAGGGGCCCAACACCTCTGTCCCCCACACAGGGATGGGGGACAGTTCCAGCCCCACCTGCTGAGTCCTGCTGCCCACATGGCTGTGCCAAGGGGGTCCCCTCCATCTGAGGGGCTGCCACCCCTGCGGGTGGTGTTCACAAGGGCAGGGGCAGCCCCCAGCCCTGCCACCCACCCCTCCTCAGTGTCCTGTGGGGCTGGGGTTGCCTCCCCTGCCTGGGAACCCGGGGTGTCACAGCCCAAGGCAGCAGCACGGCCCCGTGCTCAGGGCAGGTGACAGCCCTGAGCAGCCAGCACGACTGCAGCCCCCCGGGGGATCCTCTCCTCTGCCACGGGCTGCCACTGGCTCCAGGAGCAGGAGCAGGAGGAGCGGGAGAAGGAGGAGGAGCAGGAGGGGAAGGCACTGTCCAGAGCCCCGGTGCCCTGGGCACATGGCATGGCGCTGTCACCTCCGGTGCGTGGAGACCTGCCCGTGGTCCAGCTGGATCCTTAAGCACCTTCCAGCCTGGAATAGCAGCCTCACACGGGGAGCAGATGGTCCCGCTGTCCCTGCCATGGGGCTTGGGGGACACGGCCCTCCAGGGCGTTTGTTCCCTGATTTCGGACCCGTGGCCACTCCAAAGCCCAGAGCTCCGGACAGGTGACCTCAATGCATGCAGGTGTCACCCAGGGCACAGCTGCACGGACAGAGGATGACACTGCAGGGATGCCCCAAGGGCAGCGTACTCCTCCAAGCGGGGACTCTGCATGCCAGGGGGATGGGCTCCTGCACCGTTCGGGGGATGGCACCCACGGGCGATGTGCTGCCTGCCCGGTGCTCCGGCGTGCATCAGCGGCCACATCGGTGGTGCTCGGGGCTGGCTGGCGTGGGCTGGCAGCAGGCGGGAGCAGATGGAGCAGCACGGCGGGGACCGCGGGGGCAGGAAGCCGGGGGCAGCGGGAGCGGCTGCAGCAGCAGCCGGAGCCCTGTGTCCTGCGGAGAGGATCGTGGAAGCACCGGAGAGTGCGTGGGGGTGTGTGGGGGTGGGGATAGGGCCCGTCTGAACATGGTGCGGGGTCCCGGGGGGTCTCTTGGCCCCGTGTGTGCAGCAGGGACAGGCTCACCCTGCTCCCAGCTCCTCCTGCAGCTCCTGTGCCACTCGTCAGTGCAATGAGCCCCTGGGGCACATACCGCTGGTCCCGGTGGGCTCAGCAATGCCCACTGCTCCCAAGGGCATTCCTGCAGGAATGACAGCAGTGCCAGCCCACCACAGGCCCGCCAGCACTGCTCTGCCTGGTGCAGGCACCAGAGACTGTTCCTGGAGCTACAGTGGAAGGAGGAAAGGGTCTTGGCTACAGAGATTTTGAATCGGGCAAATCCCGGGGTGCACCTGCCATGCAGAAACACACGGAGAGCAGCAGCCTTGCATCAGGGCGTGGAGCCATGGCAGGTACTGGTGGGTCCCAGGGCCGTGGCCATGGCCCCTTGCCAGGGCACCCACAGGTGCTGGGGCTGCCCCCGGAGCTGTGGGCAGTGGAGGGCAGCTCAAGGAGGTGACGGGGGGAAACTGAGGCACGGCTGTGACTTAGAGGCTGTGCTGTGCTGGAGATGCTGGGGCCTGAGTGTGCCAGAAGCTGTTCTGTGCCTCCTTCATCCGTCTCCATCACTGAGCATCCGTGTGGGCACCAGCCACCACAGGCAGCGACAGCCCGGGAGACTCTGGGAAACGAGGCCATTCCATGGAGGAGCTTAGCAGGGGATTTCGCTGCCCAGTCGGCCTCGGCCGCACAGGGCCACGGTGATGGGGCAAGGTCAGGCAGGACGGGCCTGGGGAGCTGCCCTTGCAAGGGCAGGCGCCTGCGGGGGCCGTGAGGTCTCTGTACACGGTGCGGGGCTGAGCCGGGTGCCCCCGCGGGCACTCAGACCCAGGGTGCGGGGAATCCCCCCGAGGGATGGCACCGGGGGCCCGCAGAGCCTGCCCGGAGATCAGGGGGAAGAGGGGATGCTGCGAGGGGTGGGGGCGGGGCCGGGAGCGGGGCCGAGCGGAGCCGGGCGGGGGAGTGGAGATGGATGGGGATGGTGGGGATGAGGACCGGGCTGGGGGCGGCGCCGGGGGAGGCTCCGGTCCCGGTGCCGGCCCCGCCGGTAACTCCGCCTGCCGTATTTATGGGAAAACAAGCGGCTGCAGAGCGTCGGGCCGAGCCGTGCTGTGCCCCGCCGTGCCGTGCCGTGCCGGATCGGGCGGAGCCGGGCCATGGTCCCCAGGGCGGCGGCAGCCCCAGCCTAGCGCGGCGGCGGCGGCTGGGGGATGCGGCGAGAGCCGCCAGAGCGGCTGGCGCGGAGCAGGTGAGGGGTCCCGGGCAGGGGGCTGGGGTTTGCTGCACCCCCGGTGGCCTCCGACCGGGCCAGCCGCTCGCGGGCCCCCCATCGACCATCGCCTCGCATCGCATCATATCTCATCTTCTCCCTTTGCCCCCCCCACCGTGTTCCATATCCCCATCCTATTCCCCGAAGACCCTCCCGGGGCATCCCAATCCCCAGGCTCCCCACATCATCGTCCCGTGCCCCACATCTCCGTCCCCATCTATCTGTGCTGCCTCCGTTCCTCCAGCCTCACCGGGGCCATCCCCATCCCGTGCTCCCGAGCCGAGTCATCCCATCGCACCGGTATTTCAGGGTTCTCCATACTCCCGTGTATCGCCATCCCATCCCTACACCCATCCTCATCTCCCAGCCCCAGCCCCATGCTCCTCTCCGTCCCATCCCACCGCAGCGCCCGAGCCGGGCCATTCCAGCCCCCCCGGTGCCCGGCTCAGCGCCCTGCGCGGCCCAGCGGGCCCGGTGCCGCCCGGTGCCGCCCGGTGCCGGTGCGCAGCGGGGTGGGGGTGGCCGGGGCCACCGCCCCGGCGTCTGCGGCAGCGCCCGGGACAGACCCGCCCCCGCCGGGGGCCGCCCATGCACCGTCCACCCGGTCCCGGCCGCGCGTCTCGCCCTCCCGGGTCGCTCCGGGCTCCCCTGCCCCCCGGCCTTGCCCGTTTGCTGCTGCACCCCTCGCTGAGGGACTGGAGGGGCCACGGATCAGCCTTCCCCTGCGCCCTGGCTGCTGCTCACACCAACATGGATGCCGGCACCGGGGATGCCCGCCTGGGCCGGGTGCTGCTCCCCCCGGCAGGATGGCTCCCCCGGGGACACATGCTGGCTTCGGGTTTGGCAGCCATCCGTGCCTGGCGGGCTTGGGACAGGGACTGGAGGTGCCGGGGGCAGAGAGGCTGAGGCTCGGGGCTGCGGAGCACAGAGCGGCTCTCTGATCTGTAGGGCGGGCAGCGGGCACAGGGGCACGGGGCACCATGTGCGTATCCTGGGGTGGCACGGGGGGCAGTGTCTGTTTGCCACAGATACGAAGCAGGGGCGGGGAGGGCAGTGGGCTCCCTCACCACAGCCCGTGCCGGCTGCCAGCTCCCGGAGCGGGAAGTGCCCAGGCAGCAGCGGCCATCGGTGCCCCGCTGGCACACGCAGCGGGCACAGGCCCTGCGCAGCAGCGTTCCCGGGCACAGCGGGCACAGGCTGGCACAGACACTGCCCCCACGGCAGCTGCTGGGGGACCTCCAGCATCAATTGCTCCAGCAGTGCTTGCAGCAGGACGCTGTCCTTGGCTGCTGTCCCCATGCAGGGGCTGCTGGGGCAGTGCTGGGCAGTGCTGGGGCTGTGCTGGGGCAGTGCTGGGGCAGTGCTGGGGCAGTGCTGGGGCAGTGCTGGGGCAGTGCTGGGGCAGTGCTGGGGCAGCGGGCACAGGCTGGCACAGACACTGCCCCCACGGCAGCTGCTGGGGGACCTCCAGCATCAATTGCTCCAGCAGTGCTTGCAGCAGGACGCTGTCCTTGGCTGCTGTCCCCATGCAGGGGCTGCTGGGGCAGTGCTGGGCAGTGCTGGGGCTGTGCTGGGGGAGTGCTGGGGCAGTGCTGGGGCAGTGCTGGGGCTGTGCTGGGCAGTGCTGGGGGAATGCTGGGGCAGTGCTGGGGCAGTGCTGGGGCTGTGCTGGGCAGTGCTGGGCAGTGCTGGGGCAGTGATTGGGGGCAGTGCTGGGCAGTGCTGGGGCAGTGCTGGGCAATGCTGGGGCAGTGCTGGGGCTGTGCTGGGGCAGTGCTGGGCAATGCTGGGGCAGTGCTGGGCAGTGCTGGGGCAGTGCTGGGCAATGCTGGGGCAGTGCTGGGGCAGTGCTGGGGCTGTGCTGGGGCTGTGCTGGGGCAGTGCTGGGGCAGTGATTGGGGGCTGTGCTGGGGCAGTGCTGGGGCAGTGCTGGGCAATGCTGGGGCAGTGCTGGGGCAGTACTGGACAGTGCTGGGGCAGTGCTGATTCTGCTGGCCATGCCCGTGGGTGCAGTGGGCCCTGGGCAGTGCAGTGTGCTGGGGCTGCTGGGGTGGAGGGGGGGCAGTGCAGCGTGCTCAGCACTCTGCATGTGCAGGCAGTGTGCAGGCACCGTACCCACTGCAGCACTCCTGCCTGCTCAGTGGGATGTGCATGGGCAGCAAGCAGGCAGGATGGGCAGCAATACCCAGGCAATGTGTGGGTAAGGGTGGGCAGTGTGCGGGCAGGGTGCACAGGGCAGGGCCCTGGCAAGCCACCAAGAGCAGGATGGGCAAGCAGCAGCCCTTGCCATGTGCAGAGACAGGCAGCGAGTGGGCAGTGCCCAGGCAGTGCTGAGGGCAGCACGGGCAGGCCGTGTACTGGCAGGGCTGTGTGTATGGGCAGCTCGGGGCAGAGCACGGGCAGAGTGTGGGCAGTGTCCTGGAAGGGTGGGCAGCGTGCAGGCAGTGCCCACTGTGGTTATGGGGCAGGCAGGGTATGGTGGTGGGGGTCCATACCCCTCCCCTCACAGCCCTCACGTGGCACATGCAGGCAGTGACCCAGTTCTGGCATCCTCCGTGGGCCCCTCCGGCAGCGGGGTCGCCCCCGGGCCAGCCCCTCGTGCTGCCGGAGCTCACGGGTGGGAGCCAGGGCAGGACCCCACGGGGGGCGGCTCCCGGCCGCTCCGTGGGCACGGCCGCTCTGCAAGCACTGTCGGCAGGTGTCACGTCCACGGGGTGACACCGTGTGGGCACCCCGGGTAGGGAGGCTGGCGCCTGCCGAAAGTGGGCAGTGCTGGGGGTGAAGGGAGCATCCAACCAACCGGATGCCCGCCAGCCGGGGGTTGGAGAGCGGAGGGGATGCAAAACCCTCTCCCTGCAGAGCTGGTGTCAGAGGCTGGTGGGATGTGAGCATAATGGCACTGGCAGCACCGCGGGGCCATCCTGGCTCTGCCTCCCTCAATAGGCAGAGGGTTCCTGCAGCTGAGTGAGGGCTCTGCTCTCCCTGCACTGCCACAGAGCCCCAGCTCCCCGTGCAAGCCTCCCCCTGCACCCACACCGTCCCTACCCACGCCGTCCTCGCAGAGGAGGAATAATTTGGAGAAACCATGGCAACCTCACAGCTCCACCGGCAGTGGGTGCTGCTGGTGGGTGGAAGACACTGGTGCCTGTGGGATGGAGCGCCCACATCGCCAGTGCACAGGGATGCACACAGTGGCCTTGCTGGGTGACAGTTCCTTTTGCTTCAGCAGGGCTGTGGCTGCAGGGATCTCTTGGGGGTGCTCCACGTGCTCACAAGGCATCCATGGCCCCGGCAGCCACAACTGCACCGCACTGGGGGTGCCCGAGGAGCCTCATGTGCCTTGTTTGTTTTGCAGCGCTGGGATGGAGCCACCACAGGCCCCTCGGCCACCTCAGCTCATCCACCCCCTCACTGCTGCTGCTGGACCAGGTAGGACCCTGGGCTACAGTTCCCTGCCTGCCAGCCACCCCAACACCACAGGAATGGGCTTCCCAGTGCCACTGTCACCATCGCTGTGGCACGGGGTGCTGCCTTGCCAGATCCAGCCCAGCTCCCACATACTGTAACACAGCAGAGCCAATACTGGGTCACCTTTAGGGGGGCAAACCTGCCCTCCCAGCTCTGCAGGGAGGCACTGGGACCCCCATCTCCTTTCTCATGGCATCTTGCTCTCCCCGGCCCATCACATGGACAGACACCCCAAGGCCACTGGAGTCACCTCAGCTCTGGCATCTGCACCCCCCAGCTTTGGGGCAGGCAATGAGGAGGAACCCAAGTCTCCTCATCTCTGCGTAGTCAATGCTTCTTGCTAAATAAAGTCAATTCTTTTTCTCCAAGAAACATCCTCTCCCTCTGGTCCTCTGCTGCTCTTTAAAGGCAAGTGCCCACCCTTCTTTAGTGCAACACAGAGCAGCCAGCAACAACCAGTGCACCCAGGCCTTTGGTGGCCACGACACCCAATGCTCAGAGGACGTGGTGAGGTGACAGCTGGGGGGTCCCCGCTGTGGGCAGAGAAGGTGCACATCTCCCAGTGCTGGTGACAACCCACGGCAGCTCTCGAAGGGCTGGTGGGGAAGGTCAGTGCTACAACCCACTTAGTCCTGTGGGCAAACACCTTCCTCTGTCCCCCCCATTCACTGTGGGAACCTTGTCCTGATGTCCTCATTGTCACACAGCTGTGTCACACTGTGGCTGGGGACTCTGCCCACCCTGGCCACCCAACAGCATTGTCCCAGAGCACTGGGGTGCTTGGTGCTGGCACACAGTGGGTGTCAGACACATGTCCCACAGCAGCTGAAGCCACCATCACACTCGCTTTCCAGCCCAGGGGACGTGTCACAGCCATGGGACACAGAAGAGACAAAGCCAGTGCGTACTGAGCCAGCACAGCTCCTCTGGCACAGGGAGGTGATGCAGGAATTACTGCTGACATGACTGTGGGTTGGGGCACCCACCACAACACCCCTCTGCCACCCCTGGGGCCACCCTGGTGTGAAAGACCCAGAGAGTGGTGCAGCTCTGTGTAGCCAGCACTGTGACCACCCCACACAGGTGTTTGTGGGCCACAGTGGGTGCAGCCACCACAAGAAGGGGCTGTAGCTCCTGCCTCCTAGAGAGCCCCAGACTGTGGGGGCTTCCCAGCCACCAAGGTGGGTGCTCATGGTGCCTGTCCCTGGGCCCTGTTTCTCCCTGCAGTGCTGGTGCTGGGATGTGGGTACACACAGTCCCAGGAGATCCCTCACCATTCCAGTGCTCTCACCAGGGCTGAGCACACACTCCCCATGGAAAACCCTGGTGTTGAACCCTCACAGCCCTGCTCAGAGCTGCCAATTCATGTGATTCTGCAAGACAGCCCCTGTGCCCTGTGGCCAGGAAGAGGGCACAGTACTCTGTGTTCTCCTCTTGCTGTGCTGAGCTGGTATGCAGAGTTCCCTGGCTGCCCCCATCGGTGTCCTGCCAGCCGCTCCGTGATTTGCACCCTGGATCTGGAGACTTTTTCCAGTTTCTTCCTCCAGTTGACTGACTATTGACATCCCAGCAGCAGTGGAGGCTGGGATGCCCCCAAACCTTCCTTTCTGAAGAGATGGCCAACTCCCAGCTCTGGGCCAGGAGCTGTGGGGATTGATACGAGGTCACTCCAGGATTGAGGCGCCTCATGTGTTCTCTTGCAGGGTGGGCTGCCGTCCTCTGAGGCTGTGTGACAGGGAACTGGCAGGAGAAGAGCTGCTTTTAAGATGACACGAACAGACCCACCTGACATTCTGGTGTCCACGGTGTACCAAGACATCAAGGTGGCGACAGCAGCCCCTGGGGATTCCGTTGTCTGTCAGCCCTTAGCACAATGTGACGCCTCCATGTCCTCCTCCCTGTCCCGCGAGCCGCAGCCCTTCAACAAGCGCCATTGTAGGAGTTTCGACTTTATCGAGTCGCTGGAAGAGCTGGGCACCCCCTCGGCCATGGAGCGCGCCTGTCCGCGCCCCGGCGTGCCCGAGCCCACGCCGGGGCCGCCGGGCAGGCAGGTGCCAGCGAAGGCAGACCCTTACAGCGGCAGAGCCCCCGCGCCGCGCAGCGAGCCGAAGCGCCGAGCCCGCTCCAAGAGCGCCCCGCGGGTGAAGTCCACGCTGACCCCGGTGCCCATCACCGTGGCGGCATCACCGCCGCCAGCCCGGCGCGGGCGGGAGGTGCTGCGGGTGGCACGGGAGCCCTCCCACACGGACCCCTCGCCGCGCCGCGAGGGCCCGATGCCGCTGCGGGCGCTGGCCAACGAGGTCCACCCCATCAAGCTGCAGCCGCAGCGGAGCAGCGTCAGCCGCATCTCCCCGCTCTGCCTGGGCAGCAACTGCTACGAGGAGGGGCCGGGGGCGAAGGTGGGCGCCAGCCCCCACGTCAAGTGCCGAGTGGACATCAAGCCGGACGAGGCAGTGCTGGTGCACACGGCGCGGAGCCTGCGGGCAGCCCCGAACCGTCCGGAGCCGCCGCGCTGGCCCCGCACGCCCGGGGCCGCCCGCAGCCTGACCGTGCCGGGCAGCCGGCAGGCGTCCGCGTCCCGCACGCCCACCCCCAGCGACTCGTACAGCGGGGACCCTCCGCTGCTGCCCTACCCCGGCGAGTACTACGAGGCAGACCCGCGGGCACTGGCGTACCAGACAGTGCCCGTGCCAGCCTCACGGGAATTCCGGGAGTACCCCGACAGGGGCTGCATGACCTTTTCGGCCCCCGGCGTCCCAGCCAAGTTCTTCTACGCAGAGGAGTCAGCGCGGTGCCCCAGCCCTGCCATGCCCCTCCGCAGCTCTGGCTATGCCAGCTACCCCTACCCCAGCCGCCACGCCGTGACCCAGCCCTTCTACACCGAGGACCCGGCCAAGGCTGCCGCTCACACGATGCCGCCCCGGACGTTGTACGTGGAGGAGGCGCGGGGTTACCCGGTGCAGGAGGCACCTGCCCGCACCTTCTATGCGGATGAGCCCCGCTACTACGCCCCGCGAGGGACCCCTGTCAAAACCCTGTACGCCGAGGAGGCTCGGACATACCCAGCCCTGGGCTCCTCGCCGCGGCTGCTCTACGCCGAGGACTACGGCAAGTACCGGGAGCGGGAGGTGCTGTCGCGCACGTGCCCCCCGCCCCGCAGCGCACAGCCCCTGCACTTCGGGGACTGGTACTGCCCCGAGCGGGCCACGCTGCCCTACCAGAGCCTGCAGCTGTCCCGCTTCACCCCACAGCCGGCCGGGCGCGAGGCCATGTTCTCCTCCTGGCACGCCAGCTACGGAGTGACTCCACCGCGGCTGGGCCGGGAGACCCAGCACTACTCCAAATCCTGGGATAACATCCTGGCGCCGGCAGCACGCAGGGAGGAGGCCCTGCTGCGTGGGCGCAGCTACGAGAACCTGCTCGCCCATGAGGAGCACCGTGCCTTATCCCCCGAGGAGCGCCGGCAGCCTGTGGTGATCAACCTGTCAAGCTCGCCCAAGCGCTACGCGGCCCTGTCCCTCTCCGAGAGCTCCATCCTCGAGCGGGTGCACGCCGACGGCAGCCGCGGGGCCCCGGGCCGCTCCTGGTATGTCACGCCGGAGATCACCATCACCGACAACGACATCCGCGCCGAGGGGCTGGGCCGCAGCGACAGGCGCTCGGCCAGCTGGGACATGCTGGACGCGGGGCGGGAGTGCCGGCCCTACGCCGTGCCCTGTGCCCCCCAGCCCAGCGCCAGGGAGAGCGGCTCGGGGCGCCAGCGCAGCCTGGAGCAGCTGGACGAGCTCATCACCGACCTTGTCATTGACTACAAGCCGGCACCGGGCCACCGCTCCGGGGACAGGGACAGCCTCGCGGAGCAGCTCAAGCAGCTGCTGAGCACTGGCGCCTCGGGGCCCCCCCGGCGCGGCGAGACCCCCAGGCGGGTCTCTCAAAATGTGCCCGAGGGACCCCGACCCACAAAGGAGCAGCCGGGCCCCAGCTCCCATGCCGGCACCCCGCGCCGGCCGCCGGCCGCCGGCCCCTTTGAAAAGTCACCGGAGAACTGCTCGCCCGACCTGAGCGCTGAGGAGGACGACATGATGATGTGCTCCAACGCCAAGTGCCGGCGCACAGAGACCATGTTCAACGCCTGCCTCTACTTCAAATCGTGCCACAGCTGCTACACCTACTACTGCTCCCGGCACTGCCGGCGCGAGGACTGGGACACGCACAAGGCCAGCTGCGTCTACGGGCGGGTGGGCAGCGTCTGCCGCCACGTCCTGCAGTTCTGCCGCGACAACACCGAGGTGCACAAGGCTTTCTCACGCATCGCCAAGGTGGGATACCTCTCCCGTGGCCGTGGCGTGCTCTTCCTGGGCTTCCCCAACGCGGGCTCTGCTGAGAACTTTCTCCAGTTCGGGCTGGAGAGCCTGCTGATGTCCCCCACGTACCTGTCCCTGCGGGAGCTGGACAGCTACTCGGACAACCTGGGGGAGTATGCCCAGGAGCTGCGGGAGACAGGCAACCAGTACGACCCCAACGAATGTTTCCTGCTGAATGTAACCGTGGCCGTCACTCAGAAAGTGCCAGAGAGGCCGTCACCGAAGATGCAGGTGCCGACGGTCAGGAAATATGCCAAGGTGGCCTTAGCCTCCTCCAGCCCCGAGAAGAAGATCTTGAAGAAGGAGCGGGACATGGAAACGTTGATCCTGACGCCACCGCCCGGCACGGCGGACATCGACAAGGAGGGGGAGGAGGGCCGGAAGGCACGGGAGGTCTGCTTCATCAACATCCAGCGGGAGCTGCGCATCCGCGGCGTCTTCCTGCGGCACGAGTTCCCCGCTGTCTACGAGCAGCTCTGCGACTTCGTGGAGAGCAACAAGCGCTTCACCCCCACCACCATCTACCCCATCGACAAGAGGACGGGCAAACAGTTCATGTGCATGATTATGGCGGCCTCCGAGCCTCGCACCCTCGACTGGGTGGCCAGCCCCAACCTCCTGGACGACATCATGTGAACGCAGGGCGGGGGCAGCCCCTCTGTAGATACGCGCTGTCCTGTCAGACCCCCTCGGCTGTTACACCAAGGGGAGGGGGCTGCGGGCAGCCGGCAGTGCTGGGGGGCCGGGGGGTGGCGGAGCACAGCCCGAGGTGTGCCCTGGAGCCCAGAGCCCGGCGAGCCCCCCAGAGCCCCTCGGGTGAGCGGTGCTCGGCCGGAGCAGGGGCGCTCCGCAGCCCCCGCCCCGCCCGCCAGGCTGCCACAACCCAGAGCCCCCCGGGCCTGCCCCGGCTCCCTCAGCACGGGGGTCCCGCACGGCCATACCCAGCCCTGGGGCTGGGCGGCACCGGGAGCGTGTCCGCGCCGCGTCGGTGCAGCCCGGGCCTGCTCCTGCGGGAGCCTCGGTGCTGGGCCCTGCCAGCCCACGCGGGCTCAACCCAGAGCCCCCCGGGCCTGCCCCGGCTCCCTCAGCACGGGGGTCCCGCACGGCCATACCCAGCCCTGGGGCTGGGCGGCACCGGGAGCGTGTCCGCGCCGCGTCGGTGCAGCCCGGGCCTGTTCCTGCGGAGCCTCGGTGCTGGGCCCTGCGGGCCCAGGGCTGGGGGGCTGGGGGGCCCTGGGCGCTGCCGGGGGGGAGCGGCTGCGGGGAGGGGTCCGCGGGGGGCTCTGACCGAGGCCGGGGGTGATCGCCAGTGAAGGGGACCGGGGCGGGGATCAGGGAGGGCGAGGCAAAGCCGGGGTCGTGGCCAAGGCCCGTCACCCAGGGAGCCCGCGCCGCCCTGCCCGGCCCTGCCCGGCCCTGCTCCCCGCTGTGGATCCCGATCCCGATCCCGATCCCGATCCCGATCCCGGCCCCGACCGGACCCCGCCCCGGCTGTGGGCGGGGCCTGGCTCCGCGAGCGCTGGTTGGACGCCAGGGAGGGGGTGCGGGAACACGCGAAGGGACCGGGCGCTGGTTGGACGCTGGGCGGAGGGGGCGGGCACAGGGGCAGGGCCCGGGCGCTGATTGGGCACCGGGCGGAGGAGGCGGGCACAGGGGCAGGGCCCGGGCGCTGATTGGACGCCTCGCGGAGGGGGCGGGCACGGCGGCGGCCATGGCGGGCGCGGCGCTGTCGCGGGTGCCGGACGTGCAGATCGATGGCGACGGCGTCTTCAAGTACGTGCTGGTGCGGGTGCGCGGGGCCGGCGCGCCCGCCAAGGACGTCGTGCGAGGCCACGGCTGGGCCGAGTACCACGGTGAGGGAAGCGCGGGGCCGTGGCCCAGCGTGCCGGGGAGCGGCCGCGGGCCCGGGGCGGGGGGTTGCCGGGGCCCGGCCCGGCTCGGGCGGCGGCTGAGGCGGGGTCCCCGCGCCGCCCGCTCCCTCCCTGCAGCCGACTTGTTCGAGCGCACCGCGGAGGAGCTGGCTCCACTCGGGCTGAGCTGCGAGTGCCTGGGCGGCGGCCGGCTGTCCCACCGCCCCCAGGAGAGGAAGATCCACGTCTACGGCTACTCGGTGGTAAGCGGCGGCGGGGCACCCACGAGGGACGCGGCGTCTCCCCGCGCGGTGGGGGAGCCGCGGACGGGAGTTGGCATCGCATCCCTCGGGGCTGGGAGGGTGAGCGGGGCGGCGGCGCGGCCGGGGCCCGGCCCGGCTCGGGCGGCGGCTGAGGCGGGGTCCCCGCGCCGCCCGCTCCCTCCCTGCAGCCGACTTGTTCGAGCGCACCGCGGAGGAGCTGGCTCCACTCGGGCTGAGCTGCGAGTGCCTGGGCGGCGGCCGGCTGTCCCACCGCCCCCAGGAGAGGAAGATCCACGTCTACGGCTACTCGGTGGTAAGCGGCGGCGGGGCACCCACGAGGGACGCGGCGTCTCCCCGCGCGGTGGGGGAGCCGCGGACGGGAGTTGGCATCGCATCCCTCGGGGCTGGGAGGGTGAGCGGGGCGGCGCTCCCGGGCTCCTGGGCGTTCTCCCCAGGGACGGGAGACTTGGCAGAGCCCTTTCGGGTGAGCAGTGCTTGCCCAAAGCAGGGTCACCGCATGAAGCCCCCGGCGCCTGCCACACACCCAGAGTCCCCGGGGGTCCCGTGGGTACGGTGGCTGTAGCAGCGCTGGGTGCTGCCAGGGGGAGTTGGGCTGCACAAGAGCCCTGTGTCCACTCTGTGTGTCCTGAGGGCGTTCCTGCAGGAGTGTCAGGTGCTGTAGGGGCCTTGTAAGGGTGACTGGAGGTACCCTCGGCACATCACTGTCACGGTGGCTCCCTGGATGCTGACCCCATCCCAGTGCTGTGCTGCAGCACCAGCTCTACTGGGTGTTGAGTGCAGAGCCCAGCTGGGACCAAGGCAGGGTGGTGGTCCCCGGGCCACAGTGCAAGTAGTTTTCCCAGCTTCAGGGTGGCACTGTCCTCTTGCCTGGGTGCTACACCAGCACCAGTTGGAGTCAGGAAGGGCTGGCACAAGCTTTGTGGCCTCTCTGCTGCTGGGGTCTGCCAGAGCTGCCCTGGGGATTTGCCAGGCTTCCCTGCAAGTTCCCACCAGCTCTCCTTGGGAACCCTCTTTTCCTGTGCAGGGCTTTGGACGAGCTGACCACGCTGTGACCACAGAGAAGCTGAAGGCCGAGTACCCCGACTATGAGGTCACCTGGGCAGATGAAGGGTACTGACTCCTCTGTCTGTGGTGCCAGCCGAGGACTGGCACAGCTGTATGCAGCGCCCTGGTGGTGGCAGCAGGCTCCCCGTGCTTGGCCGTGCTCCAGGCTCTTCTGATTTTCCTCTGTGCTGAACTTGCCCGTTCTCCGCTGTCACTGGACTGTCCCCGTGCCAGGTGCTCCCACCCCCCTGGCATGGCAAAGCTGGTGAAGCCAGTGGTTGCTCTGCCCCAGCCTCCTGGTGCCAGAGGCTCGTCCACGTGTATCTGTGAGAATTAAAGTTGTCAGAGGAGCACAGCTGCTCTGGTGGCCATGCTCACGGCTCGGCTGCTCCTTTCCAGCCCCACGTTGTGCCTGTTGACAGTGGAAGGGACCCCCCAGGTTATCTGCCCCTTGAGGGGGGCCTGGCCTAGGAGCCTGGCATGGGAGCAGGCTCTGGGGTGGGGACAGCAGGAAGTGTATCGGGATTTGCCTTGGGAAGGGTTGAGGCAGGAGAGAGGAAAGCAATGCCCAGGCCTGGGAGAGGGAAAGGCAGGATGGACCTGGGGAGAGACCAGCCCCATCTCCTGCAGGGAGGAAACTGAGCTACCTGGGAACGTGACTGGGAAGAATATGCCCATTCTCCTTGTGGCAGGTGGTCACACCTTGAGGGAGAGCATCCTCCCTGACTTCATCCCTCCAGCCACCCCGGACCACCTCAGAATTTCCCAGGGATTCTCTCTGCTTGTGCTTCCAAGTGAGGAGCAGTAGAGGGAGACTGGGAGAAGCTGCTGGAGGCTTCAGTGGCTGGAGAACGCCAGGGGGATTTGCAGGCTGGGTTGGTTCAGTTGCTGTCCCACGTGAAGCTGGGGCTGGAGGATCCTCCCAGCCCAGTCCCAGCCCCATTTCATTGTCAGACTCTGACCCTGCGTGCTCCCTGCTGCTGCCTCTGCCTCGTGCCTTCAGGGATTTGGGCTCTTTCCTCTGTGTCCAGAGGCGTGCAGGGTCAGCTCAACCTGCAGAAGCTCAACCCCCTGTGCCCAAACTCCAAAGGAAGCTCACAATAGGGGGATGAGTTTCACAGGCAAAAACATGGCTCTGCTGTGCCTCGTCCTCCATCCTGCAAGGTGTGACTCTCCCCTGTGCTGGGGGGAATGTTATCCAGAAGTCACACAGTCAGCTGCAAACCTGCAAGTCACTGGATTGTGGAGCTTGGAGGCACCTCTGGGAGGTCCTGTCCATCCACTGCCTAGCTTCAGCTGGTCCATCGTGGTGGGATTGCTGAGATGTGCTGTGCAGACTCAGGAGTTGGACTCGACAGTCTTTGTGGGTCCCTTCCAACACAGGGAGTTCCATGATTCTGTTCTAGAATTAGGCTGTGGGAAGCTGTGACCAGGTGGGGTTTGAGAATCTCCCCGACTTGGACTTCCCAGCAGCTTGGGAGTCTGCTCTGGTTTTGACAGCCCTCACAGGAAAAAAAAAAAGGTTTTTCTTTTAAGTGACATTTGGCCCTCACAGGAAAAAAAAAAAAAAGAAAAAAGTTTTTTCTTTTAAGTGACATTTACTGTTCTTGCTTTGTTCTTGTCTCAGTCCTTACTGGGACACTCCCTGCTCAAAGGGTTGGCTCCCTGCACCCTCCTGCCAGGGCTTACCTGGGTGACATGCCCCTGCACCTTCTCCAAGCTGGGCACATCCAGCTCAGCCTCTCCTTGTGGGAGGTGCAGTCCCCTCATGATCAGCAGGGAATATCCTTCTGTTGAGATACTCAAAAACCATCTGGACACATCTTCCAGGGAGCCCTTGTGGAGCAGAGGGGTGGGATGGGGTGACCTCCTGTCGTGCCTTCCATTCTGTACTATGCTGTGATCACCATCACTTGATCTGTTCCAGTATGCCCACATCTCATAGTGGGAGCACCAGCATCCCTAGTGCAGAGGGCAGGGGTCAGATCTGGGAGAGAGGCTTTGCCCATGGCACCCAGGAGCCAGTGGCTACTTTGCCAGTGGCCAGCTTGGTGCTGCCAAGGTTCCTGGGCAGGGCTCCTGCTCTCCAGCATGCCTGGACTGGATATGTGGGACTGCTGGTCCTCACTGGGCCTGGCTGGCACTGGGGGAAGGAGCTGAGCCTGTGTTTTACTGCTGTGATGCAATCCCGCTGCAATCTGCCTTCCAAGGCTGTTGGCTCGGTGGAAGGATCTGCTCGATGGGGCCCCTCTCAGGGCACGAAGACTGCAGCAGCAGAGGGGAGGGGGGTCCTGTGGGGTGGCAGCCTCTTCTTCCTCTGCCCACGGAGGGAAACCAGTGGGGTCAGTAGTTGCCATCGCCAGGCAGCACTGGTGGTGATCTGTGGGCTCTGGCTGCCAAGCTGTGCTTCTTCCAGGCTCAGCCCTTGCTGGGGCTCTGCCAGGAATGTTTTGCCCCAGGACTGACCTGGTTGTGACCCCAGAGCTGTGCCCCTTCGCCCCATGGCATTCATGAGCTGGGTGCTGAGATGCTCCTGCCAGCTGGAGCAGAGCAGGCAGGGCGAAGGCTGGCTCCTCCTGATGGCATCTTGGGATCCTCAGGCTCCAGGGGGACCTCAGCTCCCCTTCCAGTGCCTAAGGGGGCTCCAGGAGAGCTGAAGAAGGACTAGGGACAAGAGCTTGGAGTGACAAGACAAGAGAGAATGAGTTCCCACTGCCAGAGGGCAGGGTAAGATGGAATATTGGAGATACAGCTGACTCCCAGCTCTGTTCTCACTGGCCAGAGTGCAGCTCACTGCCAACCCTGCACCCAAAGTGTCTCCCTCTCCTTATGCACAGGGACTGGCAGAGCCCCCATATCCCTGGCAGAGGTGTCAGCTTCCCCACAGGGCTGGCAGCATCTCTGGCTCTGCAGGAAGCGTCCTCATCCCTCAGCAAGCCCACGCATTCCACCGGGCTGTGACACTCCCAGTCAGAGTGTCACCCACCGTCTTGTTCTGCATGGAAAACGGGCTGAAGAAGAGAGGTGCAGTGGGGAGAAGCCGAAGGTCTCCACGGGGCACCTGGCTGCAGCTGGCTGCTGGGGTGCCGGCGCTGCTGCTGGCAGGATTGCGCTGTCCCGGTCAGCACAGCCTGGCCATAAACCCGCTGCCTGGCCAGGGAGCCGATAACAGTGAGGCTGAAGTCCAACAGAGGCGGCTCTGGGGGAGCACATTCCAGCCCGGGGCTCCCGGTGTGGCCTCTTCCAGCTCCGTTTCACCGTGGTGGTGGCCGGGATGGCTGCAGGCAGGCAGGCGATGCTGGCCCTCCTGGTGCTGCTGGGTGAGCTCTGCCGACACGGCCGGGGGTTGTGTGGCTGGAGGGAAGGGGCCTCTGTGCTGGCTGCTCCACTCTGGTCCTCCACAGAGGTTGCCCCAGTGCTGGGCCAGCCACTGGGCTCTGCTGCTGAATTCAGCCCGGGGTTCCCAGGGTGAGAGGGTGCCGGAGCCCCCAGCACCGGGATGGGGATCACCAGTGGCTTTGTTCAGCATGGGACAGAAAACGTGCAGATACTCCTGTTTCTTCCAAAAAGGGGGCTGGGACTCTCAGCACGGGTGTGATATAGCAGAGTCAGTGCCCCGGCAGGCTCTGGCACCCCGAGGCTGACGGTGGGAGGTGGCAGTGTGAGAGATGTGGAGTTCCGGGACAGTGACAGGGGGGTCGTCCAGGCCAAGAGGCCACTGAGAGCTCAGTACCTGCCCCAGCAGGGTCCCAAACCGAGGTGCCCAGGCAGATGTCACCTGCAGGTCATGCATGCCCTCCATCTCCTGCTGCAGGCACCGTGCTTAGTTCCCTGTGGGTTTCAGCCCCATTGTGTCTCTCATAGCCAGAACCTTCCTCCCCAGTGGATCCGTGGTTGTCAACAGCTGCAGCAGCGCAGCTGAGCAGCTCTGCAACTTTGTCTGTGACTGCAGTGACTGCTCGGATGAAAACCAGTGTGGTGGGTGCTCAGACTCCCCAGGCCCCCAGACCCACCCTCAGGCCCTGCTCCTGGGGTGAGAGCAGGCTGTGTAGTGGGGGGTCTTGTGGGTACAGGTCCCTGGGGTGGTGCTGGTGCCCAGGATGAATGCAGGGTCCCCCAGGATTGGTACAGTACCCTGGGGTGGGTGCAGATCCACAGGGTAGGGGCAGGTCCCTCGTGCAGGTGCTCAGGGTGAGCACAGGTTGCCTGGGTGGAGGTGAGTCTGCCAGGTGGGTGCAGGATCCCAGGCTGTGTGCAGGTCCCCTAGGCTGGCCACAGGTCCCTGGGGTAGGTGCAGGTCCCCTGGGTAGATGCAGCCCCCCGGGATGGGTGCAGTTTTCTCGGGTGGGCACAGGTCCCCAGGGTGGCCCCAAACCTGCCTTGATCCCCCATCTGCCCACCTTCAGGGTACCTACGGGGCTCAGCAGTGCTGGGCACCCCCTTCACCTGTGACTTCGAGGACAGTGACTGTGGCTGGCAGGATGTGGGCACCTCGACGTATGGATGGGTGCGAGGCCGGGCCAGCCTGGCCACGTGGGGCATGGGGCCTCATTCAGACCACACGGTGGGCACTGACCTGGGTAAGTGGGAGCTGCTTGATGAGCAGGCTCTGGCCACCCACAGCACCACTCCACTGGAGTCGGGGTGCCAGAACACCTATCTTTGTAGGGTGCAGGGGAGGGAGCACACCCGTGGAGGGGTGGGAGTAGTGCAGGCACAGCTCTGGTGCCACCCCATGGGGCTGCAGCCCCCACTCTGCTTTCTGCCCTCCCAGGTTGGTTCTTGGTGACCACGTCCCCCCCAGCAAAGACTGTGGCCACAGCCTGGCTCAGGTCACCGGAGATGCGGGAAGCAGCTGCCACGTGTGAGATCAGAACCTGGTATCACCTCTCAGGGAGCTGTGAGAGCACCCAAGGTGGGCACAGGCAGCATCAGCTACTGGGCAGTGAGGATGGGAGGCAGTGGGGAGGAATGGGGCCATCTGCTCCTGTGGCAGGAACAGAACCCCGACACCTTGAGAGGGGTCCTTGCCATCCTGTTTGCTCTTCCACGCTCCACACACAGAGCTGGTGGGACCTGGGGGTCCCAGTTCCAGCCCACAGAGCTGGCAGGGCTCCATTCGTTGCTTTGGGTACCCCAGGCTGCCCTGTACCAAGGGCACTTTTGGGGCTCCCCTCAGGGCTGAACCAGACAGAGCGGCCGGTGCTGCGCCTGGCTGTGGCACACAAGGATGAGGTGGTGGAGCTGTGGCAGAGCCCTGAGCGCAGCAGTGAGGGCTGGCACCAGCTGGTTGCCTACCCCGGACGGATCATGGAGCAGTTCCAGGTGAGACAGTGTTGGTACTTTGCTACCCGGGCACTGTCCCCATAAACTGGGACCAGAGGAGCTGGGCAATGCTCTG